GAAGCCCATCCTTTGACCAAACGTGTGCTAAACAGTTGTGGTATCTTCCCTTCTGCCCTGGGCTATTCACTTTTCCTATATCCTCCTATCACGCCTTCCATGTCACAATTTTTACCGTGCTTATTTTTTATGTAGTATGGCGTGCTTCTTCGAGCGTCATTCATGAAAACCCTTCACACTCCACACAATCGTTATCACCCCCTTCACCCTTGTGCTGGGAATGTTGACCAGTCTGTCATATTGTTACGTAGTCCTTCCCTGGGTCCTATCAAAGTCTCCCTCTTGCCTCGTAGAATCCGTCTGCTATCTCCCTCGTACATGTATTTCATTCGACCCCTGCCCCCCCCCCATCTATTCTACTCGAGGCGTAATTCGTCCACCCCCACCACCTGGGTGATTGATTAGAGGCTAAAGCCTCAGAGTAAGTCTCATGCCTTTGCTACATGGACCACGTCTCTTGTAAAACATACTGTCAGCCAACTAGCTCCAATCGTCGCCTCGTCTATCCTGTCTCTATCCCCATAAGAAGTTTATACCTGATGTGTAAAATCATCTAATAGATCAATTGAAATTAATAAAACTTTGGGCCCTAATGGGAATGAGATAAATCGAACTCCCTAGTGTAAGAGCTGTATTCAACATAGATTGGATGTGATTAAGGTCTGATAATTGAAATTTCCCAGAGTGCTATTATTAGGCCTCAATGCCATTGCATTTCACTTGATCCTGCATCCCAAAGGTATCATTAGCCAGGGTATACCACAGTTTCGACCTTGTCTTGAGCTCATAGGTACCCCTGACGGCAATCGAGTCTAGGTAGTGCTGTCTATGATTCTGACATGTTACCACTACACTGCTTATTGAGTTAATCCTTGTTTTTTATAGTAAAAACAACAATTTGATAACTGTGAAGGAAAAAGGCGAATGAGTGTAGGCAAAAAATAGACAATGGAATAGAAAAGTTGATATTTGAGGATCCAACACTTGCCTACTACAAAAGCCAGCCTTCTGGAATCCTGTATATGATCCGAGAGGGCTTCCACTTCAGCAGCTGGATTATTAGAGATGTGCGGTTCAGCAGGCAATAAAATAGCAAAGCAGGCAGCCATGATTGGATCAAGGGCTGGGTTCGGATACATGTCAGTTCGACGGGTTCGTAGAGGAATATTGCAACCTTTTCTTCTAACGTCAGGTGGACAAGTAATGTCTGAGCCGGTGTAACTAGGATGTTTATTATAGGTGTAAGTGGTTGTAGATAGCTTAGCCGGTCGTGTCGCAATGTGGAGTTCAAGACTCATCAACGCAATGCAATTGGACTAAATAAAATAGTTGTGTAAAAAAATGTATAGTTGGATATGAGGCAAAAAAAATTTATAGGAAGATTATGGCAGATAACTTAATAGATCATCATAATTTAATGATCAAGTGAATATTAAAATGGATAAAACAGATAACTAAAGTATTTAAGAGAAGAATAAAAAGAGGTGAATCTTATTGTAAAGCTCGCCTTCATTTCGATTTAGAGTGTGAGGGAGATGTTCAAAGGTTGATACTGTCATAGGATGATGGATAATTCCTTTTGGTCAGTTGTAGGTTGGGTATACTGTAACATTTTTATTAACGCTACACCTTCGATACAGATAAAAGCATGATAAGCTTTCATGTCAACAACAGAGGAGAGATCATCTTAGAGACATGTCATATCATTCGGCAAAATATGGAGAAACGCAAATCTGGGCCGAAATATTTTGAGTAGCACAACTCATGGCAAAAGCTGTGCTTGAGATGCATGGTCTCAAACATGTCGCTTTGTAGATTAGGGAGGCCAGTGAAATCAACGAATTAGGCAATGTCAGAAATACTGTTAAAAACACTATATGACTGACGAAAAGTCAGCATATTTTGGTCGGATTAAGCAATATTACTATCTCTGGAGTAACGTAGTCGATTGTTATAGCAAAAATACATTGGCTTAATCGACAACCCCACCAAAGAATGTGATATGGGAAAAGGCCTGGTCTTCCTAGAAATTCACATCTGTCCTGTGACTAAAGTGCACTCGTCGCAATGTGGCCGAGGGGTTAATGTGTCAAGCTCGCATTCTGCATTTTCAAGATTCGACTCCCGCTGGGGGTGTTGATAAGACCTGTGTGAGGTCGAAACTGCAGTCTACCCTGGATGAGAGCAACTTTTGGGAAAGCAAATCTAAGTGAAATTCAATGGAAACCTCAGATCTACTCATATCATTGTGGGATAATTCTACTACCATTCCTCAATCATCTTAAACGAAATAGGGTGAATACATCTCATATTACTGATTTACAGGTAGTCTCGATACAATACTTTACTTACATACTAAAAATACAATTACTGTAATTGAAAACCAAAATAACCATCAAAAGCTAACTTTTCTTTGAATATACATAGTAAATCGAAGCAGGTTAAAGAATTATAAGTTATCATCTTAATCAGTAAAGGCAAATACAATGTATAGTAATAAACTAAAAAATGATAAATCTCGGCAAGGAATATAACAGTTTCTAGTGCTCAAATCTAGACTAATAACTAGGTCTAACTAAAACGGATCCAATGGTTGTGCTGGATATTGGTTCGTCTTGACCTCAAAACAGCTAACTATTCTTGTAAATTGTATCCATAAAGCGTACTCAACTCACAAGATAACAGTATATGCACGGGATTGAACGAAGTGATTAAGTATGCGTTAGATATTTGGGTATATAATATTTCTATTTTATACAAAATATGCACACGAAAGCTTTCCCATTGACTAGCTTCCAGTTATTACTCCATAACTGAGTACGTTTTAAGTACTCCATTTAGTAGAGGCAGAAAAATGGAACCGATTTATGTCACTAAGAGGCTCAATTCAAAGTTAAGAAAGAAAAAATGCCAGTTCGTTAATCACCTTAAAACAAATAGTCACTTAATCAGAACATATGAGATAGAAAAGTATTTTAAGCTGCTTGCTCATAACTATCTGGTTTAGTGAGTGCACCCATGTAATATTTTTCATTCTTCCTAAGCCTTTCTAATTGCACCGGCCTAAATTGCCAACTTTCTTCAAGTCACGGCAGATATTAATATTGAGTAATCATTGGAGCGATCAGTATAATATTAAAATGAATTAATACAAATAAAGTAAACATGTAACCAGCCATCCTTGGAACACC